TTCGGGGGGTGCTAACACTTAAACATAAACTTTATCCTTTACTTTCTCCGTCTTTAAATTATATGTAGATATGACTTTTCTCCATTCATCTCCGCTCCTTTTCTCCGTCACGTTGTTTCCATAGCAATAACAACTTCCTGTCAATAGCGTAAACTCGCCTTCAAAATAAAAGCATCTAAATAAAACAGGAAGTTAACCTAAATTACATTTAAGACATATTTACAACTGCAACGAAAGTAACAAAAACAATGTAATATACTTTTCAGTTTCACAGAACACAAATTGGGTTGTTTACACATCATGTGCCTGGTGACCGTACATCTCCTTCATAAAACGAGTAATAGGGCGGTGGTGGCGAAGTCTATAGGGACTTGGCTTGGCAACTGGAAGGTCAACAGTTCAAGTCACGGCAAGACCAAGTGCTACTGAGGCACCGTTCCCTACACTGCTCCCCGGGCGCCGTTCATAATGGCAGCCCACTGCTCCTAACACTTGGATGGGTCAAATGTAGAGAAATCATTAAAATAATAATAGGGGGAATAATCGGGCAGTTCGATGTGTGTTAAGGTGTGTGTCTGTGTGTGTCTCGGTGGTTATAAACGTAGCAGCCTCTATCTCTATTCAGCTGTTCTAATGAAGGTAAACACAGCCCTCTGCGCGCAGATACTGTGAGAGTTACAGACATGAATTCATAGATCAAGGCAGACTTGATTAATTTGTGCGCACTATATACTTTTTTGTGCGCACGAGAAAGTTACCGGTGCCCCAAGTAGGAAGTGGAGCGCACAGGAGACAACCGTTTCATTGCAGACTGTTATGTTTATGTGGTTAAATGGCAGTGAATACATTATTTGAGATATATTTCAAACTCTGACTTCATTTTAGGGACATTTCGGCCAGAGAAGAGCTATTTGTTTCAGCACCAGATTCGCAAAACAGGAGGTAAGGCGGGGCCTCGCATATGACGCACACCTGCACACCTGTTAGCCTGTTCCACAGTTCTTCATTTTCCGAGGCTAGAAAGGACTCTTGTCTCGCTTCTGAAGTAACTAACTCGGAGGTACATGTGCTATCAAGCAAGCCTGCTCAACATTGAGAAACACCCACGGACTTCTGCTCTGACAGCCAGGCACGACGGGTAATCTGTGACGTTTTGCTCTCGAGAATCTCATGCCATTTTGTCCTCATGCGCCAATGAGCAACAGCTTCATAGGAATGAACGAGGTCCTACTTCCGACGCTGTATCCAGTTCTTATTATATATACATGGTAGGAACACTAGTCAATTAAAAACGCGAGTGTTACATAGTGATGTCACTATATTACGAAAGTAAAAAAGGAGACTGGGATTTTAGCCATTGCAGACAATTTACCTGCACAAAAACATATAGAACACACTACAGGAAAGGGAAACCCATAAAAGCTTTATGTTTTGGCTCATTTAAAAAAGAAAATGCAAAAGCCCTTACAATGGTTTGGCTTTTTTAAAGTGAATCAACTTGCACATGTCGCTTTTCTGAGTTTGTATCTTCACGGTTTATTGCACTTGTAACTCGCTTTGGAGAGAAGCGTTAGCTAAATGTAGTGTAATGTAAAGGAAAACCTTGCTCTTGTATTTCTTGTGATTTTTTGTCTTTGGTCATTGCACTGCTAAGGATAACAATTTCCCACAATCCTTTCAGTTTCTGGAAAGATATTCACCCCACCCCCCCGTTTTAAACCACTTTCCCAGGTCTTTCCCCTCATGCCTTCTTCACACAGGAACAATCGTTTCTGTACCAATTGATTCAGCTATTTGCCGGAAATCATTTCAGCCGCAGAAAGAACATTTCCCATAATGTCCTCTCTCTTCACACTTTTCTTCCCTCTTTTTATTTGTCTGCAACGCAAGCCATTAAGTACCCGATTAAGTGTGTGTGCGGTCTCCAGCTGAAATGGCTGTCATTTTCCTTTGGCACAAAACATCAGAGGTCAGAGTGGAGCTGCACTGCGCTCTGATCAACATGAATTTAATGGAAGCCAAGCACACCTGGCTTTTAACCAATCTGCAGCTTTTACTGTACCATGTGCTGTGATTCTTTTTTTCACGATACACAGATTGTTCTGTTGCACGTCATTAAACTGCACAAAGAACATTGGCTATTTCAAAACTGTTGAGGTGTGTTTGTGTCCACTCTCAGCTTTTCAATATCTTCATTAGATTACCTTGTTAGCCGACAGAATGACCTTCCTTTTATTGCAATGGCCGAAAATTATTTCTGGTTTGCTCTGGTTTGGGATGTGTCTCTATGTCAACACTTGAACTTGTCTTACTGTTTCCAGAGAAGAGCTTAAACTCTGCCGTCAGAACATTGAAAGTGTGTTGGAGCAGAGGGAAAACTTGGAGGAAAAGATGGAGGAACAGAAAGCAGCAGATAACAGGTGAGTTGAGCAAACTGCTACTAGTCTCTACTATTTCATTTTGCATAACCTCTGTTTATTCTGTGTATTTTATTCTGCAGCGTTGCAGTGTTTCGTACACGAGCCCAGCATAAGCTTTTGTGTCAGAAGCTGCAGAGTGAAGAGGAGCTGGAGGGCCACATCAACACGGAGCTGAAGCAACAAGAGTGAGTCCGAGAAGAAGGTGGTTTGGCAGTATGGTCTTGCTTTGATAAGCATCAGAGGTGTATGGAAATATTAGCCCCCTTCATATATTTAAATGGACCTTGTAAATAACTAAGAAAGCAAAAACAGAAACAAAATCCCACCATGCAGAAGATCCCCATTGTTTAAAGCCACCGCCCCCTTATAAGGTAGAGAATACATCGGGAACCCCTCATGTACGTTCCTTGATATACATTGATATTGTCCATTCTTTACACTTTTATAGTCAGAGAAAGATTTTAAACATGTATTATAAACACATGCACCATCTCTACACTGAATACTCACAAAACAGTGCAACTCCCATCAATTTAAGTAGCTGCAAGTAACAGCAGCTGTTCAAAAGTTTCAAATCAAGAGAAAAGGGCATATTCTAAGTGCATTTCAGACTATACAGACACGTACAAATATCAAAATAAGTGTGAACTTAAGTTTTTCCCTTTTGGTTCAAATGCTAAATAAATTATTCTGATATTTCAAATAATAGCCTTACAATTTGTTAGATGACAACATGATATGTTTCTATCATCATTATCATTATCTATTTTCGATAAAAAAAGAAAAAATAATACTTTTGTAATAACAAAACTGTAATCTGCAAAGATATCATGTTTTTTCACTATATTAGTAACAGAAACCGCTACGCAGTATTTACCCACCTGAATAACCTTTAAACTCTTATCTACGTCTCAAACCAGACTTGTTGGTTGGGTTTAGCATCTCAATGCTAGATGAAACCAAACACCACTCGTGTTAATCCCAATTGAATGCTCTTTTTAATCAGAAATCCCTGCTTATTTGACTTTCTGTCAGCTTCATCACAGTCATACATGCTGTGAATGATCGTCTTTTGGTTTGATTAGCAAGAAAAGCTTTGCCATTGTCATGTGTAACATTCTGGGGCAGTTTTGTTGTTAAACCTATAACGCTGTAGGAAGGAACTGCTTTGAAAATAATTTGCTCTAATTGTCTGAATGCTGTTTTGTAGGATTTAAAAATGATCACTGCCTAGAATAATTCATTCAGTTGATTGATCTATTTTTAATCATAATTATGTTTACCAATTTGATAAGTACCAAATCAAATTGCCATTGTGCTTCCAAACCCTGCATACGTCTAGTTTTCTTCTCTCAGCCACATTAAAGGTCCCCTATTATACTGTTTTTCATCAATATATTATAGGTCTCAGTTATGTACAAAGCATGTCTCTGAAGTGTTTGGCTCCAAACACCAAACAGGTCATTGCAGCATCCCATAATCCCCTCTGTTTCAGCCCTGTTTCAAAAGTGCTGATTCTCTGTCTGCTACTTTAGATGAAAATAAGCAGCCACTCCCCACGCCCCTCTGAGAGATATTTGGTTAAAAAGAACACAATGGTGCTCTAGGAGGAGATTCAGGTGATAAGGTGGGGGGGGGTTACCTTGGTTGGTGATTGGCTAATGTGGCTAAAAAATCGATATGACATCATGAAGTGGCCAAAATCTGATCAGCTCATTTTCAGACAGGTTTTTGTAGAAATGGATCAGGACAAAAAGAGAGAGAATCTTTTTTCCTGAAACTTTCAGAATCTCTTTCCACAGAGGGGACACATGTTGATGTAGAAAAGACATGAAAAAGTGGATTTTTCATAATAGGTGACCTTTAAGTGACGGTACTGGAGAAATAGATTTAGGAAACGTTCACTATCAGTCTGCATTTCCAACTTTCTTTCTCTCCTTTTTTTTCCTACATCTTTGCTCCTCAGACTGGAGCTGAGCGAGGTGGAGGTGGAGCTTGGCAGGTTCTCCTCTCTCCGGCAGGAGGTGCAGGAGGAGGAGCGGGCCTTCGGGGTCCTGAAGAAGCAGAAGGCGACGAAACGGCTGCAGCAGGAGAGGAAAGCCAGCCAGCACCAGCAGCTCAGGATGCAGCATCTCAGGGAGTACGGAAAACAAACATATTTTCCATTCACGCTCTATCGTTTTTGTGTGTCGAGTAAACAAAAAATTCATCTCAGTATATAAACAAGTGATTAGAAGATGTCAAACAGCGAAATGACATTTGTATGCCTAGGGAGACAATTAAAAATGAATTATTTGTGCACTTCAAAGTATCACTCCCTTATGAAAGTATTGTCATATTGCACCATGCCATTCTTTATTGATTCTTTTTATGAGAAGCCTCTATGGGGAATCAGCTGTATCGACCTTGAACAGCCATATTGAGACTGATATGTTCTGCATGTCTCTGTGAATGTGTTCTGATAGTAAACAGGCATCCATGCTGAAGAAAGAGGAGGCTGAATGTCAGAGGAAAATCGAAGAGGGCCGGGCCAGCCGCAAGGTAGCTGCCAAGTACTTGAAAGAGACCATTAAAAGGTAATCAGCCTTTAAGCCAATAAACTGGGCTCAGGGTGGAACAAAAGCATATCTCTGAGGACTCATTGGAGAGTTGAAACATCCTATTGATCATTCACTCATACTGGCACAACATATGACAAGCAGCAGGCCTGATAGGATGCTTCAAGAGCTCAAATTGACAGAAAAGTTCTAGCTGAAAGATCTGAGGAGGGAAAAGTGATTCAAGTTAGTGAAAGAATGTCCCTCCAAAAAATACTGTACTAGAAGTCGTTTTTTTTCTGGTTAGTACGAGTCCATGTGACAGTTGGCTTATATGATTTTGACGGGTCACCTCTAACGAAAGTGTCCTTGTTGCCGACTTTCATACAGGGCAAGTTACGGCGGCTTTATGTATAAAGCACATTTCATAACAAAGACACTCATATTAAAACATTTAAATAAAGAAGAGGCAGGAAGAAATAATGAATATGCAATATATTGGTTTAAGATTAAGAATGAACATATATCATTTATTTGGTTAGTGAGTTAATTATACATGCGCCCAATGTAACACAAACGATAACATGAGTCATAGGTGCCATCGAAAACCTCAAGCCTCGCATTATAACACTTTATCTTAATTGTGAAAATGACCTCTTAAAAGACCAAAACCAACGATGAACTGATCCCAATTATAAGTAGCAAATGCCCGGTGCACTGTATTTTATTCTATTTTGAATATTGAGCTCCATTGTAGCTCAAAAAGTATGGTTTATGTTCAATTCTGAGTTATCATAGTAACATTTGTGTCCGTACATGTAAATAGATTTGTTCGGTTTGGTTTTATATTCAATCAATGAAAATACTTTAATAATCCCAGGGGAATTCGGTTGGGGAAAGTCGGAACATAGTCAAATCAACTCATTATTTATATAAACAGAAGTACACATATGCAATAAAAGTCCTTGTAGCCACAGATATTAGGCACAGGAACAAGGCAGGACGTCAGGGGCGGCGGGTACTGTAGGCTAGGGAAGGCTAAGCCTTCCCAAATATTTTTGTCACTGCATCTTGGTAAAATAAAAATATAATGTAGCCTATAATGTTACGTCTTTGACATTAGCGTTGCTATGCAGCCACCTGTGCCCTGTACTACGAAGCCAGTTCAACAGACCCTGGATATGTTGGAGTTATCTTAACTAACCCCAGAGCCCTAACAAACGAGATCTCGCTAAGCGGTCCTGCGACGCTGGTTATCAACTCGGTAAATCAAGCCAGGGTTTCTCTCTCCAGCTGAGAGCGCGTTCACGTGAAAGGGGCGGGGTTAGCAACATTTGACCAATCACAAACAGGGACAAGTCAGAGCCGTATCTGGGACAAGTGTACTGTCAGCGCAGCGTCATACTTCATTAATGAAAAGTAAACTAATATTAGACAAATATGAACTTTAAACATCCATGATTTAAACATATCATCCAGGATACAAGCCACATAGTTGCACCTGCAAGGTGAATAGAACAACTGGTTAAAAAATAAATAAACTACCGAGTGTTTGAAAGCATTACAACAGTTTTATGATATCACTGCCCCGTCTAAGACACGAGTGGATCTGACTTTAATTACATTTGAGTTGAGTGTTTCGTCAACCTAATGTGTTACTTAAAGTGGACCTATCATGCTATATTTGAATAATATAGTGTAGGACCATACCTATATAAGGCATATNGTAATACTTAAAGGGGCCCTTTTATGCTTATTTTTAAGTTCATATTTGTATTTTTTGCCTCTACTGTGACATGTTTAAATGCTTTAATGTTCAAAAAGCAGCTTTTTGAACATTAAAGCATTTAAACATGTCACAGTAGAGGCAAAAAATACAAATATGAACTTAAAAATAAGCATAAAAGGGCCCCTTTAAGTATTACATTTTTTTTGTGTGTTTAATGGCCAAGGTTCAGGCAAAGCAGGTTAATTTTCAGTCTTCGACGGAAGATGTGTAGACTTATAGTTTTCCTGAAATCCATTACATGTGCTTGTTTTATAAGAGTCTTAAAAGCACATGGATCTCTTATCTAGGCTATGTTGCTAATTTTACTATAACGGTCAGTTGATTGCCAGGCTCAGACCTGGCTTTCTGCACGTCGTGCTCCTTCTGTCGGTGAAAGCAGTCCAGCTGGTCCAGGTTTCGTCTCAGCTTGAACATCCGTGCTGTCTCGGCATAACTCCTCTTCTCACCGCTGACGGCCGCAACCGCAAGGTCACCATCTTCCTCTCTTCAGGCAGATGGCAAATTACACTTATGAAAGGTGGCATGTAGATGGGAAATGACACTTAGGAAAGGTGGCATGTTTAATGGAATATATGACTATGCATGTACACACATGTAATACCAATGTTGCCTGGATTTGTTTGTAATGAGGTTTTAAAAGACTTTGAATGAAATAAAAATAATAATATAATAATAATGTATCTTTCTTGTTAACATAGTTTTCAACTAAGTTTTTCTATTATTTATACATTTGCTCTTTTTATTGTATCCTTTATTTATTTTGTGTTAAAAAGAGATGTTCTGAAACTGAGTTAAATAAAGTAATGGTGTTTATGTATGTGCCACTAATTGTTTGTAAAAACACAATACACCCAATTCTGATGATTATGTTCTCTAAATGTCATATTAAGAATCACTAGAGTCAGAGTGACTTTATATTCAAACTACAATAGCATACAAAGAAAAGCAACACTCCAAAACTCACTTATAAAACTCATCTAACCACTCGAAATCCGGAGGGAGGGCAACCTCTTCTTCTTTAAATGACTCCTGGCCTGGACCATCTTCTCAAAATGAAAATATGTTAAGTTAGTACATCCCAGTCTCCTAACACCAATGAATAAAAAAATACATGGCTTTTATATGACTATGCTATGAGGAAAAGGTATCTTCTAGTGGCTGCAAGTACAGTAGAGACTACAATCTGCATTTTGCAAACAATGGAGCAACAGCAGCTGTCACTCACCCTCATTGTCCTCATCAGTGCTGTCTGACGCTTCATCATCAAATGGACTTTCCCTGTCTTCTTCAACGTCCATTACACCTGATTTCTAAATGACACAGGTGCATTACGTCAGACACATTTCAACATATCCCCGAAAATGTACTTAAGGGTAACAGACATCTTTTATTTGCCAGAAATTTTACCTGGCAATGCTCACTGACTTATTTTAAACCAATTATTTTCATCCGGCAGATACAGCTTATATTCATTATAAGTCATCACGGCTAGCATTAGCTCATGCATCCCTCGTTTAAAACGTTAATATTTCATTTTGAAATGTTATATGGTGGATTATATGCCTGCCGATTCAAAGAGTGCCTGTCACTGAACTGCAGCAGACAATAACTCGTATTTTACAGGTGTGCGACTTTGCCAATTAGTAGGGAAACATTCAGTAACCAGATTTCTGAATGGACTTTGGCGTGTCGTCTCTCGATAGATGAGATTGTCTCCACTTTCTAGAAAGCATGTCAACAAGTTACGTAAAATAAAAGCTTGAATTAAGCTGTTTCACATTTAGTTAATCAACAAACATAAGCTGTTACCTCGTTTTGCTTGGCTTTCCTTCTCTTGGCAAGATATCTTCTCAAAGTTACTGTATCTAACCGCAAAAGTTAACCCGCCATGTTTGTTAGTGTTTCCATGGAGACTGGACTCAGGGGGCGGGTTCTTGAAGCCCCACGAGGACGTTAGCTGTCAACTGGCCTACCAACTGAAAAATGCTGCTGGCTAATTAGCTACAAGAGAGGCTAATAACTGAAATGCCAAAAGTTGTGCACAAGTGTTCTCAGGGACAAAAGATGTGTAATTTGACCTCATACAATATTTGACTTTTATTTGTATATGCCATTATGTTACAATATTATGTTGAAGTTTGAACCCATGGTGTCTTACTTTTACTTCAGGCCTATTAATCGAAGCATTAAAGGAGTAATGAATGCAGTGGAGTAAAGTAACTACATTTATTCAAACTTACTGTACTTAAGTACACTTATGAGATAGGCTACTTGTACTTTACTTGAGTATTATAATTGTATGCTACTTTGTACTTCTACTCTCCACTAAAATTCAGAGGTAAATAGTGTATTGTACATTAATACCTTAAGTTACTTAAGTTACTTTACAGATTTGGATTAATGATATGAAATATAATCAACTCTTAGAAAGGACTTTATTTAAACCTGGAGTAACATTCACATGCTGCTACTGCAGCATACAAAGTCATTGAAACTGCACCTTTACCAGATTTGATAAGACTTTTGCATCAATCAATCAAAACATGTCATATTATTCTGAAATGGACCAATCTGCATCATGAGTTCTTTTAATTTTGGTACTTTAAGTTTATTTTGATGCTAATACTTTTGTACTTTTACTTGAGTAACATTTTGAATGTACTTGTAAAAGTATTCCTATACTCAGGTGTGGTCTACTTCTACTCAAGTACAAGATCCTCTCCCACCTCTGAATGAATGACAATCTTTTTATCAAACAACAGTGACCTTTTCTGACTGCTGACAGCTGTACCTTCCAATATTATTCCCTTATTTGTTCTGGCTGATATCTGTCAGTCCACACTCAGCAGAAAATAGCTCAGCTGGCTCAGAGAGAATGGCAAACCTGTGAGTTATGCACAAATCTTTTGTCAAGCATGCAATATATTGTTTCTGGTTTACACTCCAAAAATATATTCATTTGTAGTTGATCATTATTGGACAATGAGCTTTGAAGATGTTCCCTTATTGGACACAATAAAGCTTAATCCTTCACAATGTTGAAGAGGAATCAGAAGAGGAGAAAGGAGAGAAGTATGTCTAACATATTCAAATGTTGTGATACAGGAACATTTTGTATCACCATGGGGGACTGAATCTATATGGAGGCAGGTTTTGTTGGAGAGATAAAGGCAGAGCATAGTAACAGTGAGGAAAACAAAGACTGCAGCTGACATAATCAACAGAGGAGACCACCGTGAGCGGAGACATGGAGA